CACACTCATTGCTTCTGCACCTTTCTGCCCTGTACTTAACTGTTTTCTCTGAATTGAGGAAAAATAAATATTAACACCTATTATGGATTGTGTGTAGAAGTGCCCCCAGAGCCTCATGTGCTCATAGGTGGGGCTTTTTGGAGATGGCTGGGTCTAGGGTGTGTGATACTGAGACTAAGAGTGTGAGCATCTTTCTGGGTGTGGATAATGGAAGCCCCACCCTGCTTGAGGATGGCACCAACCAATAGGCTTGTAGCCTGGATGGGATATAAAGGGAGAGAAAGAAGACATGCTGCTACTTCTGCTTCCTGCCTGCCCTGCCTGCCATGGACTGTTTCTCCTTATTCATCCTCCTCCGCCACACGACCCTGCATTGGAGCCAGCAGACTATGGACTGAAACCTCTACAAACTGTAGCTGAAATAAACCTTTCCTCCTTTAACTTATGGGTGTTGGGTATTGTGTTTCAGTAATGAGAAAAAGAACTAAGACAATACCTATTAGACTGAGGCAAAAGGATCACAAGTAGAGTTGGGAATATTGCCCAGTACAAAGACTCTGGATTCAATCCCCAGTACCACAAAAACAGATTGGGGTAGGGGGAGAAAGAGAGGGAGAGGGAGAGGGAGGGAGGGAGAGAGAGAGAGAGAGAGAGAGAGAGAGAGAGAGAGAGAGAGAGAGAGAGAGAGCACGCGCGCCCGGCATTTCACTTATTGCTATAGCCCACAATACAAGATGTGCATTGGGCCTGCACCCCTGAGTTACAGTAGTTTTGGACTTTTTTCCTGAAGCATCCTCCTCAAGCTATGCTTAAAAGTGGATAAAAACAAAAATCAAGGATACCACTGACCCCAATGGTGCATGCCTAGAATCTCAGCTACTAGGAGATGAGGTTGGGCAGGCTGAGGCAGAAGAATCTCAACCTGGGCAGAACAGCTAGATCCTGTCTCAAAATAGATAGGGCTGGAGGATATAGCTCAGTAATACAACACTTGCCTGGCATGTGTGAGACCCTGGATTCAACACCTACCCCACAAATTTTTTTTTCTTTGAGAACACCACCTGAAAGATGAACCCAGACAAGTTCTGACAAGTGCTGGAGAGCCAGCAGCATGGTGTGCCTATGGCGAGCACAAGCCAGGAGCTCCTGTTGAATCCATCCCCCAGGGCAGGAGGCAGGCTGGTCATGTGTGTGCGTGAGGTGTCGACACTTAGGACTGAGCCTTCATCTGTAAAGTCCAAGTTGTACAAGGAGACACTGGAAAGAGTGAAGGAGTTTAATTAAGATTGGCTGTTATGGGGCTGGGTGTGGTGGCGCACACCTGTAATCCCAGCACTCATGAGGATGAGGCAGGAGGATCGCTGTGAGTTCGGGACCAGCCTGGGCTACATAGTTCCAAGTCAGTCTCAACTATAGTGAGACCCTGGCTCAAAAAACAAAGCAACAACAAAAAAAGATTGGCTCTCATGGGTTGGGAGTTTAGCTTAGTGGTTCCTCCACTTGCCTTGCAAATGCAAGGGCCTGAGTTTGATCTCCCGTACCACCACCCCACCCAAAAAAAAAGAAAAAGGAAAAAGACTGGCTCTCATGGACAAAACACCAGAGTCAGGAAGCAGCTGGGACAGATGGTGTGGCCACGATGAGGAGGAACACGTTAACCTAAGTGAGCAATGAAGTACTCATTTTAAGTGATCCAGGCCCCACGGCCATGCTGGATGCACACCTGTGCTGCAGCCAAGGCCAGTGCATTTGCCGGGCCCCAGGCTGCAGTGTGCATGTGCCATCACATGCTCATCCTCTGTGAGGGCCGAGTGTCAGCCTCCCACCATCCACACCCACAGGTACCCTTCTCTGGGGACAAGGGGACCCTGGGTGGAGCAGGAACATGCCTCATTTTTCCTGGGGGCACCATGCACAAGGTTGGCCCTCCAGCTTGTAGTGTGACCAGGGTTAGGCATAAGGTTAGGGCTGGGTTTAGAATCAGGGTTAATCTCACTCCATTTGTATCTTGGATGAGTAACACAGGACGAGTCATACTGCCTGCACTTAAAGGGGTGACAGCTGTCCCTTTTCGTGAACGCTGTGGGAAAGTCTCCTTGGTGGTTCTTCTGTCTTCCCTGGCTCCTCCCATCAAAGTTATGAGCGGGGTCTTGACTGCCTGCCCAGAGCAGGCACTGGCCACTGGCTGTTGCCTTTCCTTAGTGCTGGTCATAACCGGTGGGTTTTAGTTTTGCCTTGGCAGCTGTCTATAGCCAGAAGTATTGTTTGGCCCACATCTCATTCTTATTTTCCCTGAATAAGGAGAAGCAAAGGCTGTTCTAGGCACAGTTAGTGCTGCGGCTGAGATTGTGTGTTGTCACCACGGCACACTGCCTTCTTGCTCTGGCTGCTCCAGGCGCTTTGGCCACAGGTGCGTGGCCCGCCCTGCAGCCGCCTCACACAGCCCTGGGTGTCAGGGAGTGCAGGTGCGGTCCCCGTGTGTGACACTTGTGGACGGGTGGGAGGAGCTAGGAGGACTTGCCCCTGAATAGGCCTTGCCTTCCTGCCTGAGCTGCCCTCTCCATTGCCTGGGTCCTTTTCTCTGATCTTACAGCCCTGTGGGCTGACAGCCACAGTGAGACTGAGACCTGACTGAAGGGTTCCGGGTGGCATTGCTGCTGCTGTGTTGAGAGATGGTGACACAGCCTGTTTCCTGCTGTGGCTTTGATGTCCACTGCCATCAGTGCAGTGGAAGCAGCTGCCATCAGCTGGAGACTCTGGAGAGAGCAACAAGGGACAGTGAGGCAGGGGTCCCCACCAGTCTGTTTCCCTGAGGCTGAGGCTTCTCCTCTGAAAGCCTCTAGCAGAGATGATGGAAGAAGGTCATGCTGGGTTGTGCCGAGTCCCCTCCCTGCCTGCCTGCTGGTGGGGTGAAGGGAGCCGGACACTGTGCTCTGCTCCCTGTGCACGACAGGTCCGGCCGAGGTCAGTCAGGATGTGCGGCTGCACGGACAGAATGTGTCACTGTGGCTCAGCTCTGGGCACCCGGATCTGCCTGCCTTCTGTAAAGTGTAGACTGTGACACCTTTCCTGGGCTTGGGATAGCAGCAGTTCATGCATCACAGCTCCCGAAACCACGAACCCTTCAAAGGAGGCAGAATGTGAAAACGTGGCCTGAACTCTCCTCACACATCTGCGTTAGCTCTCGGCGGCAGGAAAACTGACTGTGAGCTGTGCCCAGAATCCATATGGGCAGTGGAAAGTTTGGAAATCCCAGAGCAGCCTGTTTTAGAATGCTGCTGTTCCTGTGGGTTTGCACAAAACTCTCCTACTGATCTTCCAGAATTCGTTCTCCTGTTCATTCCTTTCCTCACCCACTCCCCCAGCCAGAGGCATCTGTCTGTGCGCATTGTGCACCCCAGCACGGGTCATGGTGGGGTTAGAAGTCTTCCTGCTCAGCAGGGAAGGGGTTGAGGGAGAGGCTGCCCCTGGGGCAGCACGTGGTCAGGGTTGCCCTGCGGCCCCAGAGCCCTCTGCTCTCTTCCTCCGGGTTCTGGACATCAGTTTTCTGTCTCTTGCGACTTTAGGAGGTGAAGGTGATCTGCTCCAGGCCAGAGGCCCAAGGCAGGGTCCTGAGCAGAGTTGCCGCAGGACAGGTGTGCGTGTCTGTCCCTGAGGGCAGAAGCCCCAGCTCTGACAAGGGTGCTGTTGTCTTTGTGGGAGCCCTGAGGCCTGTGTGCCCACAGACTCAGTGCCCCTTCTGGGGCATCCTCTGCTGGGCTCCAAGTACCTGGCTGTGGGCCTTGCTGATGGCCAACTCCAGGGCACCACCTCTGCGCCTTTCAAGTAGTCCCCTCCAGCTTTCAGCCTAGCTGGGTGTGCAAGGAGAACCCGGCCAGCTGCTCCCCACAGGGCTCCCTTCTCTGGCCCAGCCAGTAGGCACATGTGGGTGCCACTGCCCCCGGATGTGGCTCTTAGAGCAGGAGTGGGGCATTGCCCAAGGTGGCACCTGGCACCATCCCAGCCCTGCATCTCAGGGGTCTGGCTGGCATCTGGGAGAGGATGCTCAGCCTTCCTGCATTGTCCCAGGTCCAAGGGTCCTGCATCGTCCTAGGTCTAGGCCTGTGACAGAGTGTGTGCATGTGCGTGCAGTGTGGGTTCAGGGCCTTGAGTACATCTGCCTCCATAACCAGGGTGTCCTCCGTTGGACCTCGCCAACCACAGAGGGGAAAGAACTGAGACAGGAATCTGTCCGTGTGTCCAAGCAGAACACACAGCACAGCAACTTTCAGCATTCCATTTGCATTGCCTCAGGTGGTGACTGATCCAGCGACACAGTGTGGGGTGCCCAGGGTGCAGGGGGTCTGTGCACACGGCGTGTTTTGTGTACAGGCTGGCACACTGAGGAGCTGGTGTCCCAGCTGGGTCCTGGAGCCCCACTCTGACCACCAGAGCCATACCTGCCTGCACCCCACACCCTGGGCCTTCACCCCTTCCAGGGTCGGGCAGGGCTGGGCTCTGACACCAGTTCCTTGCACCATCACTCAAAGTCTTGCTGCAGGACTGCGCCGGGCATCCAGCAAGGCCCTTGTCCAGGCAGTGCTGGCACCCAGGGTGGCCCCACCATTCAAGCGTCTGAGGACGGAGCTGGGCCTCCTTGTCCCTCTGTGTGTGCTTCCTACATTGTGGCTCTCAGAAACCCGGCAGTGGAGCTGGCCCTGGTTCCCTAGTGAGTGGACACTAGCAGGCGCTGCCTGGGCTTTGAGTGACTTGCTCAGCTCCTCTGGGTGGGGGACAGAGTCTGGGCTTCCTGTGGGGTCAGGCAGCTGCAGCTGAGGGGCTGGAGGGGCTCTGAGTGATCATGTGGCCCCCCTTCAGGGCCCTCTCCTGGTGGCAGGGCCCCACACAGGGCACTGGGGCAGCAGGTAGGTGTGGCCCGCAGCCTCCGTCCCACGAGGGCCTGCATCCCACAGCCCACAGGTGTGGCGGGCAAGTATTTCACCGCTGTACTTTCCCTGCAGCGGAGCTGGAGTTTGCGCAGATCATCATCATCGTCGTGGTGGTCACCGTGATGCTCGTGGTCGTCGTCTGCCTGCTGAGCCACTACAAGGTCTCCACACGCTCCTTCATCCAGCGCCCAGGCCCAGGCAGGCGGCCAGGGGAAGGGCCGCCACGGGTGAGTGCAGACTTTGCCTGCAGCTCAGGGAGCCTCGAGCCTTGGTGGAGAGCCAGTAACCACGCGGGTCCCCTGCATCCTGGCCCACAAGTCTCCACTGCCTGGATGTGGCCCATCAGGACAGATTAGTTTTGCTTTTTTATTTGTTTTATTTTAGTTTTGTGGTACTGGGGAGTGAACCAAGGACCTTTGCACTGAACTACATCCCCAGCTCTTTTTTTAAACCTTGAACACCTCGCGGGGCTGCTGTGGGTGCAGGGCATCCCCTCGGGTGAACACCTACAAATCCCAGGGACCCGTGGTTAAGGAAGCTTCGAGGACGTGGTGTAAGCTGGCCCTGCTGTCTGAAACAGGCACACCAGAAAGGGCTTTGCTCCTGGAAAAAAGGAAGGGCAGAGTGAGACAGCTCAGGGGCTACATCCTCATTCTTCGGGGTCTGCTCTGAGGACCAAGTGGGCCTGCTCCCCCACTCCCTTCCTGGAGCTATGGGGTGGCTGTGGAGGCACTGGAGGTGCCTTGGAGACCTGTGCTCCAGGGAAGCCCAGGGAGGGGACAATGCAGCCATTTCTGGATAAAAATGAAAAACAGTAACTCTGGGCTATAATTATCAGAGAAGTAAAGCCCCAAGTGGTGGCCAATGGCTGCTGCAGGTGTGTTCCTAAGTCCTGTGTCCTCTGACTGCCAGCCGTTCCCCATGGCTTTTCATGTGTCAGAGGTCTGACTGCAGGCTCTGGAGTCAGGAGGAAGCTGGATGGGGCCTGAGTACTAACCAGCTGAGAGGTGTGGATTGGCACCAGGTGACCCTGGCCAGAAGTGGTTACTGTATCTCCTGCTGTGTGGTCACCTCCCTGGGGCCGGGCCCTCACCCCTGTGGCAGAGAGGGCTGAGGTGGCCGAGGGCTCCACGGCAGTCTGCAGCTCAGCCCAGTGGGCACAGCTGGCCTCGGACAGGGCCCTCCTAGTCAGGATTCATCCACAGGGTGTCACCTGGGGCTCCAGACTCACCAGGGGGGCCCTGAGACACACTGAGGGTGGAGGTGTTTTCCTGGGCTGGCCATGTGGCCCAGCCTGTGAGTGTGGGTGGCCCCAGCCATATCCTGAGGTCCCCAAGCACAGTGTTGGGGCGCGGTACCCCTGCTCCTTCCTGTGTGACTGCAGGGCACCTGCCTTCTCACATTCCTACTTCAGGCTGTCTTTAGGGAAGCATTTGTACCACAGAGGACACAGACTGTTTCAGGAAAGTTAAGAGTGAACTGCAAGCCATATGTCATGCCATGGCTGTCACAGCCCTGTCCCTGGGCTGCATTAGGCTGGGTTAGGATGGGTGGTGGCTGTCCTGCTGTCAGAGCAGACAGGCAACCCCTCCACACCACAGACCACACAGCCCGTGTCCTCTGTGGTGGCACCTCCCTAAGCTCACGTGCACGGCAGGAGGCTCCAGTCCTCCGCTCACAGCAGAATCCTCATAACTTGTGGGCACAGATCGTGCCTTTTCAGTGTGAAGCATATTGTTTGGGTTAAAAATTATTAGAAATCCAGAAACGTAAAGGTCAAGAAGACAGTAATGAGAGGCCTCTGTGAAGTGGACAAATTCTTAGAAACACTCTTCCAAAACTGATTCATGAAGAACTAGAGAATCTGAATAGATTCTTAACTGGTAAGGAGCCTGACTGAATAGTCGAAAGCCTCAACAAACAAAAGCCCTGGACCAGAGGACGTCACTGTTGAAATCTTACTGAACATTTAAGGAACTGACCCAGCCTTTCTCAAACTCTTCCAAAAAGTCAGAGAGGTACGAACACTTCCTAACTCATTCTGCAAGGCCGGCATTCCAATACAAAGCCAGATGAAAACTACAGGCAAATATCCCTTAGAAATAGATATAAAACCTTCAACAAAATACTGGCAAATGGAATTAAGCCCCATACTGAAAAGATTATATACCACAACCAAGTGAGACATAATTCCAGAATGTCAGGATGGTCCAGCACATGAAAATCAATCCGTCGTACACCCTGTCAGCAGGATGGAATGGGAGGAAGAAGCCACATGACTATCTCATTGATATGAAAAGGATTTGATGAGACTCGACACCCTTTCACAATAAGAGTGCTCCACAAAGTAGGATGGAAGAGAATTTCTTCCACCTTACAAAGTCATCTGTAAAAAGCCTGCAGCTACAATTATAATTAGTAGTGATTGATTGAGCGCTTTCCTCTGAGATCAGGGACAGAACAAGGATGGCTCCTTTCACCATCTTGACTCAGCAAGGTGTTTCCTGGAACTCCCAGACAGTGCAGTTAGGTAAGAGAAATAAAAATCATTCCAATGGGAAAGGAAGGAGTAAAATTGTCTCTGTCAGTACGTGATATGATTATATATGTAGAAGACTCAGAACATTCCACCAGAACAAAACAAGCCCTGCCACGACTCTGTAGTCAGCTCTGCTCTTGTTGGATACAACACTCAACCGCACAGTTTAGAGGAGGAGATGCTTCATTCGTCCCATGGTTTCAGAGCATCATAGCAGAAGGCTGTGGAGGAGCAAGGAACCAGGCACAGCACCCAAGGTCGAGCCTCATGCCCCACCAGAAGTGTGCCTTCCTAATCCACGCATGTTTCTTAATGAGGTCAGGCTGATGTTTCAGTGTTAGTGGTCACAAACTAATAAATTCAGCACAGCAGCAAGATGAGACTCAACATGCAAAAATCAGCTGCATTTCTTTTCCGTATCAATGAGGAATCTGACCTTAGAAGGAAATGAGGAAAACGATTCATTTATAATAGCCTGAAAAAGAATAAGATACTTAGACTAAAGACTTGTACACTAAAAACTACAAAATATTGCTAAAAAATTAAGACACAAATGAATAGAAAGCTATCCGATATTTATAGATTGGACCTTATTACTATTAAGATGTTAGTACCCAAAGCAGTGTACAAACCAATAATGTTTTATCAGAAATAGAAAAATCCATCAGGGAAATTATGTTATCTCTAGGGACCCTGAATAGCCAAAACAATTTTTTAAAAGAGCAATAAAGTTGGAAGACTCTCAATTCTTCATTTCAAAATGTACTACTACATGAGTAGTAATCAAGACACTTTGGAATTGGCATAGCAACAGGTATAGATTAGTGAAATAGAATGGCAGCCAAGAAATCAACCCTGCATATATGGCCAAATGATTGTCAGCAAGGGTACAAAGACTCACGGGAACAGGATAGCCTTCAAAAGAGCTGGGAAATTGGAAGTCCACGTACAAAAGGATGACACGGGAGTCTTATCTAACAGCAATGATTGTAATATCTCAAAATTGATGGGGCGTGGTGGTGCACACCTGTAATCCCAGCACTTAGGAAGCTGAGGCAGGAGGATTGTCACGTTTGAAGCCAGCCTGGGCTACATAGTGAATTCAAGTTCAGCCTGTACTACATAGCAAGAACTTGTCTCAAAAAACTAACAAAACCTCAAAATGGATGAGTTAAAAACTATAAAATTCTGTCTTAGCTCTTATAACCAAGTGCTGTGGGCAGGATGGCTAATAGACAGCAGACCGTTTCCTCTCACAGTCCTGAAGCTGGAAGTTGTGGGCTCTGGTGAGGGCCCCTTCTGACTGCTTGAATGACTTCCCATGATCCTCTTGGGTGAGAAGACAGCTGGCAGGCTCTGTGCCCCTTCTGACTCTTCTTATGAGGGCACCACTCTCAAGACCTCCTTGCCTCCCACACCATCACCTGGGGACCTTCCTACCTCCCACCCACTGGAGAAAGGAAGACCCCGTGCCCCAGATCTGCAAATGACGCCCTGATTCTTGGCCTAACGTAGCATTCATCTGGAAGATGAGGATTTTTTCTCTTTAAGGCAAGCACTGTAGTGCCAAGCAGACTGAGGTTGTGGGAAGGTCTCCTGGGGCATTCTGAAGAAGCAAAGATGTAAAGGCTGTGCGCATGCTAGGAGCAGGAAGGAAGGAGTCTGCCGATGAACAGCCAGCCTTCAGGTTCCCGGGCCTCAGTCACCCAGGACACTTACACCGAAGTAGACCAGCACTGTCAGGCCGTTGGCCTCCGCCTGTCCCTCCAGAGCACCAGGGTTACTCCTGGGCCATGCTGGTGAAAGGCCTCAACCACAGGATTCCTGTAACAGCAACTGCATCGGGGAACAGTGTCAGCGAACAGTTGAGTTATTAGCTATGTAGCTATCAAAACAGCCACCATCAGCCAGGCGTGGCAGTGTGCACCTGTAATCCCAGCACTCAGGAAGCAGAGGCAGGAGGAAGTTCAAGGCCAGCCTGGGCTACATAGGAGACCCTGTCTCAGAAAACCAGTGGAATGCGACAGCAATGATGGCAGTGGGGTCTGTGGTCTGTTACCCTTCAGGAAAGCTGGACAAGGGCGGCAGCATCAGCAGCACTCTTCACACCACTGAAGACAGAGGATGGAGCAATTTATGGCTCAAATGAAACTGAAGGCTTGCAAGGGAACAAGCACCAGAAACCAAAAACCATTTATCTGCTAGGAGTGGGCTCACGGAGGTTTCCTCCTGCTTTGAAGTGTTTTATCTTGCTGTTATGCTGTTCCTGCGAAAACAGGAGCCGGCGGGAATCATCACCTTCAGGGCAGCCTGTGCCAGAGCTGCCTGCCGTGTCCACCCCACTCCAGGCCCTGAGGCTCAGGACCCTGTGGCTGTCCAGGCTGGAAGCGTGCAAAACGTGTGCAGGTGGGGGCCCAGGCATGAGCAGGAGGGGCTGTGGTGGGGAGGGACACCTGTGACAGAAGCCCATGCCCACCTGCCCTCTGCCTGCATTCTCTGAGGCTGTTCTGTCAGCAAGGTCCACACAGAGACAAGTTTCGGTAAGAATCTGATCAGCTGTTTGACAAATTAAACAACACAGATGGCCACATGTCAAGCACAGTGCCCCCCAGCAATCCCAGCCACACAGAAGGCTGAGGCAGGAAGACTACAAGTTTGAGGCCCGCATGTCTCAAAGTAAAAAATGAAATGGGTAGGGGAGTCTCTGCCTGACTACTCACCTAGCACAGACCAGACCTGGCCTGGGCTTGTGCCCAGCCCCCCAAACACACACACACACACACACACACACACACACACACACACACACACGCACGCAGCCCCAGAGCAAGATACTCAGGTGCTACGCACAGTGCTATCCAGGGAGGGCTGTGCGCCAGGTGGGTGTGGTTTGAGTGCTCCTGCCAGACAGGGCAGAGGTGGTGCAGTGAGAGGCCACCCTGGTCACTGCTTCCCGTGGTGGCTTTGCTGGAGAGGAGCAGGGTTGGTGGCGAGGGGTCCTGGGGATGCAGCAGGGAGGCCCGGAGGGAGTGTGGGAGCAGAGATGCTGCACGCTGGGGAAGAGGTAGCCCAAGCTTTGTGCAGTGGGCCACAGGCTCTGCATGGTGGACAGGGTCATCTGTGGTCTGTGGTCAGGAGCCCCCAACAGGTCCTGTGCACGTGAGATGCTGGGAGTCATGGCAATGGAGTCGGTGAGACAGGGCAATGTGGACATGGACAGAGCTGCTCTGGGGATTCGCCAGCTCCACCAGACCTCGGGACCACAGCCTCTGGGACCACTGTTGTCCTGGGCCACGTGAGCAGGCCTTTTTGGGGTGTCTTTGCTCCTGGGTCCTGTCAGGACGAGGGGCTGGGCAGACAGCTGTGCTGCTGGCCTCCACCAGAGCCTGGAGGCTGGGCAGGTGTCCCTGGGAACCCGCCCTTCTCTGGTACCCTGTGAAGCTGTCCTGGCTGTTGTGCTACATCATGGTCTGACTCTCACAGAGCCAGCTGTGCTTGTGCCATAATGCAAGGCTGTGTGCAGCCCTGCACAGGGAGCCAGTGTGACGCTGGGGGGAGCCCATGATCCCCAGGGTGTCTGGAACCCAGAGCTGTCACTCGGCTAACATGGCTAGCCTGACGGAGACACTGTGCCAACACATCTGGGGTTGGGAGCAGCCCAAAGACTCCGTGTCACTCTGTCAGTCTGGCTTTTGTTTTGTTTTTTTTTTCTTTCGTTTTTTTGAGACAAGGTCTCACTATGTAGTTGAGACTGACCTGGAACTCACTATGTAGCCCAGGCTGATCTCAAACTCACAGTGATCCTCCTGCCTCAGCCTCCCGAGTGCTGGGATTACAGGCACGCGCCACCACACCCGGCTATCAGTCTGGCTTTTTGAAAAAAGGTTTAAAGCAAGTAGATAAGTCTGACTCCTCTGCCAGGCTCTGCTAGGCTCTGTCAGACTGGGTCAGACTGGGTTAGCCTGGCCATCTGGGATCCTGGGCTTGCTCCTTGCCTGAAGCCAAGACTGCTAGGAGAGCCCTGCCCTGTGTGGATGCACTGGTTTGCGGTTAGCCCACCCTTCGAGCACACAGAAGCACAGGTTTATGGCCACCAGGAGATCCAAGTGTGGATGGACAGGGATGTCCATCCTTGACCTGAGGCGGGACATGTTGGCTCATTTCTGGAGCAAGGCTGGGCCACCGGTCATCTAAGTTCGGTGATGCTTGGACACAGTTCATCTTTTTTAAACAGTCCAGAGCCTCACTCTGTAGTTTAGGCTGGCCTTGAACTATGTAGCCCAGGGTGGCCTAAAACTTGTGATCTTCCTGTCTCAGCCCTGAGGTCTGTGTTGCAGCTGTGTGCCACCACACCTGGCTAGTCTGAGTTTTTAAAGAGCTGGTTATAAACATACAACCTGAAGGATGAATTCCCCAGAAAACACTGGTGTGGCAGGGTTGGGGAAGGCAGCCAGAGTGTGGGGTGTGAGGGTGGCACCAGGGATGGCTGGGCACCAGGGAAGCAGAGGGGACCTGGGTCTATTTCACCGCTATTGGCCCAGGGCCTTTGTCACAATCAGCCAGGCCAAGGTGACCGGCCCAGGGACCAGCTGCCACTGCAGGGTCAGGCCAGCCACGTCGCAGTGTCACAGCAGGGGTGGGTGTGTCTGGGCACTCTGCCGGGAGAGGGGGCTAACCCTGTCTCTGTCCCTAGGAGGGGCACCTGTGGCCTCCAGATGCTGCTGTGCTGCGGCCCGGAGCCTTGGAGGTAAGAGGGGTGAGGGTGGGAGCCACTGCACCGGGCACTGCCCTGGAAGGGACCCTGATGCATCTGAACCCCCTCCCCCCCTGGGAGGGGACAGGCTGAGACCAACTGTGACTGCGCTGCTGCCTTTGTGGCCTTGTACACGTGTCAGTGGTCACACACCCTTGTGCACTGACATCTCTGGGCAGAGACAGCGTGGTGTGGGGCACGCAGCCTGGGCCCATGCTGGGCACAGATCCACTGTCATACTCACTCTGGCATTCAGGCTAACAATGACAAGGAGCTACAGAAAACTATCTAGCACCCCAAAAACTAGGAATCTGGAAACCAGAAAGGAAAAAGAGGGGTCCTTTTTCTTTTACAGAAAGCGCTGAAACCGTTCAGCCTCTCAGATTGCTGTGGGGGACCTGGGCCTGGACTCTTGGAGGAGCTGGGGTCCCCTTCCCTAGGCAGACCTGCCCATGTCCCTGGCCCCCGTCGGCCTGTCCCTGCTCCACCCCCCCAACTGTCCATGTGACCCAGTCGGACCCCGTCTGTCCCGTCCCCGCTCTATCCCCGTGTCTCCTGTCCGTCCCTGTCCCCT